ATCCTCCCCCGCGACCCATCTCTGACTCCTTCCTCCTTCCACAGGCGCCGTGACCGGGGAGCTGCTTTCCAGTTCCCTCCCAGGTTAAAGTTTCGAAAACCTTCCCAGTTTCTTGCTGATATGCATTTGCATATGAAGTATGAAGCTATCCTACTATTGACATGCAAAGTAACTCTCAGAGGCCCTGTTCCCTGTCTCCCATCCCCATGGCAACCCACGAGGGAGGAGGGTGGCTGGAGGGGAGAGGTGAAGATATCCTATATTTTTCTTGGACACCCCAATTTCTGGACCCCATTACAAATCCACTTTTGGGGGGGCCTAGCTGTGCCCTGTTACACTGGGCCACATGCGGCCCACAGGCTACAGGTTGTACACCCCTGCCTTAAAATAAGTGTGGGACTTAGGGAGGTGTGGTCCTGCTTTGCTGATCTGCTGCCCTCGGAGCTCCCTGTAATGTGAGTAATAAAGGCTCTGTCTGCTCCATCCAGTCCTCCTCCTGTTTTTTTTTTTGGCTTATGCGAATGAGTAGTCGAGATCCTCGGCTCGACCTCCTGTTACACGTACTATGGACTTTTAATTATTTTTTCTATTTTGAAAAGGAATTTGACATTCAGTTAGATGTCAGTTATTTTCTGGCATTGTAGAAATTCAGGATTTCTTCTCCCTGTAAATCTAATAACTTTGCTTTACCAGCCTCTTTAGATCTAACAGTCTTCAAGGGGTATTTTCCATGTCCTGAATTTCATTGACTTTCACATTTTTCCAGGTGTTGATGCCACACTCAGCTTTATTGTCAAACACTTACGTCCCTCCAGCTGCTCCAATTTTCCCAACCACTCTCCATACCTAGAGTCCTCATGATGTCAGAGCTGAGAGCTAGTCTACATTTTAAGGCCATGTTGGAGAGGATGTTTTCATCTCTTTAGGCTGCACTTTTGTAATTGGAATCTGCACACCAGAGTATAACAGAGTTTATTTCAAAACAGTACATTCTGGGATAACTTACGAACTTACCTTTGTTATGACATACAGTTGTAGGTGTATGTTAGAACAGACAAAAATTGGAGTCTTAATCCCGGTGCTGCAATTAGAATAGCTGTACTCCCCTAATGATAAGGCATTGTTCCTAGGCTGAGGTCTTTGTTTGTGCCTGGTTTTGTTTTCCCTCAGGATATATTCTCTTAAAACAGAACCAACCCCAAATGTAGCCTGAAAATATTCCTGGGTCAGGCCTACCCACAAGTTCTCCAGATGTGCCTTGTCTCAAGTAGTAAACACAGATTGAGAGACTCTGAGCCTCTACTGAAAGTATACATCTGTTGAGACAATTTTATCACAAGAATCCAACCTAGTCGGTTGGGCCCCAACTGCAATTGAGTTGCTGTGCAAAGCTCCTGAAACTCAGGGATAGAAGAATGGATACCTTCTAAAAATGCACAGCGTTTGATTACACCTTGGACAAAAGGGAATCCCAGGAGAGTTTCCCTGAAGCACATGATGGAGAGAAGAGAGGCAAGTTAAACTCAGTTGGCATAAACAGGTCCATGACCACTATGACTGAGAGAGACAAGAGATAATCTGAGCTGCACAGGCAAGGGATATTCTACTGTGAAAATGCATGTGAATGTTATGTGGGAGGTGAGTCGGGCTGCGCGCACAGCTGTTTTGTATCCTGGACTAATGCTTGGGAGAATATTTGGTTCTGAAATTGTTCCATAGTTCTCGGGACTACTGATGGTAGCATTCTCAGTTAGGAATGTCTGAGGGTGGGCAAAGGGGAAGACACAACATACCTGAGGCTCTGGCTTTATTAGGGTCCAAGGGTGGGGAGCCTAGTGTTTCATGGCTTCACTGTTGGCTAATTTAAAGTATAAGAGCAGGAAGTAAGGTGTGGGAAGGATAAAGTGGGGTCATTCAAGGGCTCAGTTATCGAAGTTACCCAGAACTTTCTGAAAAAGAGAACTTTTATGGGGTGGCCTAGTTCCTTATCCAGTTGTTTTGCTAGTAGCTGTGTCATACAGCTGGCAATGTCTATTCAAGATGGATGTCTTATGAAATGGATACCTTGGCAATCAAAAGATTAATGTCAGGCACTTACACTATAATAAAAAGGCATAAGTCAGGTACTTAGACTAAAGAATTTTAAATGCCAGAGGCTAGTCAGGTTTACACAGCTGCTAGAAGAGACAATTGGGAGTGGAACACTGTTGCAATAACACTGGAATCCATGTTTAGGAAGAAATAAATCGAATATTAATTAGCAGTCAGACCGACATAAGCCACTTGCATCCTGTTTCGAACTTTTCTTTGCTCTCTGATTTTAAAGGTGACAATTAACCTACCTGGTATATAAACATAACGAGATTAAAATAGGACTTTTCTCAATTAAATGTTAATCGGCATACGGTGCCTGTTCCACAAATGAACTGAGAACAGGTTGCACAAGAGATATTTCAAAATGTCATAGTAAAATCATTTTTTTGCAGATCCACTCCCCTGTCCATAAATATCTTGGAATCAATATTCCAGCACTTCAAGAAGTACCCAATACCTTATGCTGGTATGATTGTAAACTTTTAGTTAGGAAATTAAATAAAATAGAAACCACAAGTGAATCTAAGCTCAATAAGAACTGGAATTTCTCTTTGTTTTGTTTACACTGCATCCCTAGTGTCTAGAACAATGTACTCAATACGTAATTGTAGAATGAATGAAAGGGAAAAGTAACTTTAAAAGAAGGAGCAGTTCAGGGAGTCAAAGAGATTCACACACGCGCAGATTCCAGCAGTGCTCAAGTCCCCGGAAAGGGACTGGGACCAGGTTGAGTCTGACCCCAGCACTGTCTCAGAAATGTGTAATCCATTTACTCCTAATTGTCCTTGGTTAGGGAAGATAAGGCCTTGCAATTTATTATCTGGCTGTAAATTGCTCAGCTGTTTAACTATCTGTCTCCGTTTCCCCATTCCACTTGCTGGGGAATTTTCTTAGCTTCTTACTAAACTGCCTCGGTCAGGCTCATTTCTTGAAGCCTAGTATTCATCCAAGAGAGTATGCTGCAGAACAAAGAAAAACCCACAATTCAGCTAAAGCCATTTAAACTGCACAGAAAAAGTGGCAGTACTCTGATAATTCACACCCATTGTTTCCAGATACTACACAAACAATCATCTCGAGATTTTTTTTGCTGTTCCCTAAACATTGCAGTTACAATAAATACCTAAAAACAAATAAAAGCTGCTATGAAGTTTCATGGTAAAAATATGCTTCCCTTTTTGTTCTGGGAAACATCACTGATTTTTAGAAAATAGGAATTTTCTGCAACGTAAGCCTCAAAAACCCTTGCAAAAATTTCTCTTTAGAAAACAAAGTGAAGGAGATGGCTGGAGAGGGTGGTAAGAGGTGAGCCCCAAAACTGATCCTCCCAAGGTTGAAGTCCAAGAAAAGAAAGTCAAAGGAAATAGATTTTATCAAGATGGTTAGTGAATTTGGTTCCTACTGCAGTTGTATCAAATTACCAAGGCTGCAGTTGTATCAAGCCTTGGTGGCTTAAAAATAACAAGAATTCATTAACTGGTGGTTGGAAATACCAAAAGTTCTCACTGGTCTAAAATAAAGGTTTGGCCGGTCCAGTCTTTCTCATGCTACTTTACTATGACACTGACTCTTCTACCTGACTCTTCCACATTTAAAGCACCTTTGCAATCACACTGGCCAGGATAATCCAGCATATCCTTAATCTTTAAATTCGGCTGATTACCAATAGTCATTCCCTCAGCAACCTTCACTGTCCTTTGCGTTGTGACATTGTATATTTACAGGTTCAGGAGAATTCGACATGGGCATCTTTGGGGGACGTTTATTCAACTTATCACAGTGAGGGGCGCTGTTTAATTGGGTTTTTAAAAGGGAACAGTGCCAGCAGTTTTGTGTGTAACCACAGGTGTGCTTAACCACGACTGTCCTGTTTGCTCCTGGCACAGAAAAGAGGGGCTCAAGACTAGAGGCAGGATGTAGGGGTGAAGGAACCAAAGATTCAAGAGCTGTCAGGTTTCTTTCCTGGGCAGTGTGTGATCACCCTAGGACCTTCTCCAAAGAATGACTGAGCAAACTAGACAGGTGCGCATGGGAAGCGGCTGAGGTCCAAGCTGGTTCTAATCCCTGCCCCATTTCCACTCTGCCAAAGATCACGAGAGCTTCGATGTGACTGCAAGAGAAGATCTGACAGAACAGAGGCAGAGAATCCAGGACCTGCCCTATCTGGTGCTTGATACTTGGCTGTGGGGCGACAGACAGGGAAGGTTGTATGACCAGCGTGGGTCCTGTCAGGGACAGGAACTCTTGGACAACTGTGGCGACCGCAAAATGGCAACACGGGTAACCATTTCGAATGAGAAAAAGCAGTGTGACAGAAAGAATGACTGGGCGCAGCAGAGCAGTGGATTGTTTCGTAGGGTTAGAGATCTAGGCCTGCCCTCCTATAGAAGAGGAGCAAATGGCGAGGCCTCCATGGCGGCCCCCTCCTACCTTCCTCCCCTCCCTCACCGTGAACAGTAAGAGAAGACCTTGGGGGCTATCCCAGGACGTCTGGGGTGGCCTGGCTTCGGATCGCCTCTCCCCTCCCCAGCGCGCAGGCCTCAACAGCCCCTCTCCCAGCAGCGTCCAGGAAGGACGGCGGTGGGATGGGGGAGGGGGAGGTAGGCCGACAGAGCAGTCTGGGATTTAGAGCCACCAAGGGGCGGCTTGTATCCATCCGCTGCTGCCTCCAGCGCAGCTGCTCCCGACCTCCCGGTCCCGCCACCCGGACCCCGCCCGACGGTCCCAGAGACTGTAGTGCCGGGAATGTAAGGGTGGTCGCCAGGTAGGGGGCCGCCTTGGTCCAAGGAGGCCGGCCAGGGCTCCTCGCGGCCCCGGCCCCGGCCCCGGCCCCGCCCCCTCCGGGTCGGAACTACGGTGGGCTGGGAGGGGGCGTCGGTCCATTCGCGCCGTATCCCTCCGCCCCCGTGCCGAGACTCTCGCGGCCAGCTGTTCCTGCCGCAGCCTGCGCAGCCCCTGCCCGTTTTGGTGCAGCGGCGCGCGGGCGGGGGAGGCCTGGGGAGGCGGGATCCCTCTTTGCAATTCGGAGCGTACGGAAGGCTGTGGGAGTCTGAGTGAAGAGCTCCGGGAGCCGGGGAGACGACCCCGCGGGCGCTGAGCCTGTAAGGGCAAGTGGGGGGGTGCAGTGGGGGTGGGGGCGGGGGCTGGGGCCCACTCTCCACCAGCTTACAGCTCGCGCCCAGGCCCTGGCAGCCTGGCGAGGAGGAGGCAGCCCGGCCAGTCGGAGCCGGTGCCTTAGAGAGGTGCGCAGCGCCGGGGGACCCTGGCGAGGAGGCGGCGGAGACTGGCGCGGGCCGGGCCCGGGGCGCTGGGGTGGCCGGAGAGGCTCCGTGTGGTCCTGCGGGGCGAACCACGCCGGCTGCTCCCCAGCCTTTCCTGGCGCCCGCACCCCGCCTCCGACGGTGTCGGTACTGGGAGAGGGCTGTGGGGGAGGCTGCTGCGGGAGAAATGGCGGAGCGGGAGTTGGGCTGGAGGCGGATGTGGGGGAGGGGGCGTTGGCGTCGGCTACTCCGGCCTCTGATTCTGGAAGGGGGCCAGTTGGGCCCCGCTTCCTGGGTGCTCTCCTTTCCAACAGGCACCTCATTGATGCCCAAGTCTCCGGTCTGCGGACTAGGTCTGGCGATTTCAGGCGGCAGGGTGCATCTGTAGAGGAGCGGCTTGAGAAGAAGTTGGAGCAGGAAAATAGCGTGGATTTCAGGAGGTGTGTGGGGATGGGGGTTGGTGGGCGGCAGCCATTGACTGGGCACCATAGCAGGTCAAGCTTCCAGGAATCTTTAAATTTCCCTGTGTACCAGCTTCTAGGCACTTCCCTTGACTTACTGCCTTATCTCCAACCAAAATTGGGGCCAGGAAAAGGTGGGCTCACAGGTGAGGGTGAGACAGATTCATAATTCCAGGCACCCCTGCACAACCTGTTTTCTGGAACATGCGGGCGCCCTTCCTCCAGGTGGTGCTGCGCAAGGCAAAGGGATGTGGTGCACCTAGTGGTGAATCCTCAGAATTGGAGAAGGGAGTAATGAGAAGATTGTGACGTCAAGGGAAGATGCGGTTATCTGGAATTCTGACACAGAGGGCCTTAATGAAAGGAAAATATTCCACCAAGAAGACTCTGGACTCCCATCATTTTTGTTGGTCTGTCCACCAAGTGCTCAGTTGCTACCATGGTCTCCTGATTGTTTTATATCTTTTTGTCTGTGTGTCTGTAGGCTTACTTTAAGGCTGGTTACCTTTTGCAAGGAGGGAAAGGAGAAAGAGACTGGCTCAATTTTCTGCAGGTTGGTACAAAGAGGGACACTGCTGGGGACAGTTACAGAGTAAGATCATGGCAAATCTTTGTTATCTGCTTCTCCTGCCCTGCCAGATTTGCACAGTGCCCTAGCCTCCCTTATCCATTTCTTGCAGGTGGTATTAGAAATATTTGTGTAGGTGTGAATTGGGCTGTAAATGGGAGCAGACCTGAGGTCAGGAACCAGGAGACAGGCAATGTTAGAGAAATTTGACCTATAAACAGAGAGATGTTTACATCAAAGGTCGGGGTATCTGCCTGTCAACTAAGCACTCAGACTCCATTTCCTTCTTTATGTTTACTTGTCCATAGGACAGCCTGCTGTTTGCTGTAGGGCTTCATACAACTGGAACAAAGCAAGGAGAGGGATATTGCACCACATCAGAGCAGGTTGTGGGAATGGGCCCAAATTAGGGTTGGGTAGTGGAGACTAACACAGGTCCAAGAGTGTTTAGGGTCTAGTCTGGGAGCTCCTTATCCCCAGTACCAACATACTTTCCCACTAACCTCACACCTATTTTGGGGCAGGCCAGGTGTGTGGCAGCTCTGGGTGAATGAGGGTGACATACTTTCTAATAGCCCAACAGCCCCACCCAGAATTCAAGGACCAGTCTCTGTGTGGGTCTCTGCTTGGAGTGATACAGTTGGAAGAGACTCAAAAGCCCCGTGCCATTCTCTCTCCTTAGATCCACCTCTAGTGGCAGCTCTGGTGGTGTTGCAGTTGCTGTTGACCACCACGCTCAACAAATCTACACCTGCCTGGGAACCAGCCATCCTCCTCCAGCTTGGTTGTGCCTCTTCGCAGACTGTCTATAATACTGACTGAGGCTGGTCTTGGGAAGGAGGCTTATTAACTGCTGGACTGGTGATTGATTCTCTTATTCCCATCTGTACTGCCCGAATCATTGAAAGATCAGAGTGTGAAGATACAGAACTGTGACACTTCTGTGGTAGAGGTTAAGACTGTGTTACTGGTATTTAACTGTGTCTTTTCTGTAACTGGTACTATGACTGGGGCTGAGATTGAACCTGGTGCACAGGCCAAGCCTGGAAAGAAGGCTGGAGAAGAGGTTGGCGGCGGGGCTGAGAGAGAGAATGAGGTCCCAATGGTGGTTAGACCCAAAGTTAGGGCCCAGGCCCAGGCAGTGCCTGGGGCAAGGCCTAAAATCGAGTCAAAGGCTACAAATGGGGTAAGGCCCAAAACCGATTTCCAAGTAATGGCTGGGGCAAGGCCCAAAACCGAACTCCAGGCAATGGGTAGGGCAAGGCCCAAAACTGAGGCCAAGGCGATCCCTGGGGCAAGGCCCAAGGATGAAGCCCAGGCTTGGGCCCAGACTGAGTTTGGGGCTGAGGCAATGTCCCAAACAGAGGGCGTGTCCCAGACAAATGCATCAGCCTGGCCACTCGTCAGCACTGAGTCTGGATCAGTTGCTAAACCTATGGTCATGTCTGTAGATAGAGAACTGGTAAATGCGGATGTTGAGACCTTTCCTGGCTCCCAGGTTCAGTCAGGAATTCAGTCCTGGTTTGGACCAGGAGATGAAACTAGTACAGGGTCTTGGTGTTATCCCAGGCTCAGGGCCAGAGAGGAAGCCTCTAATGAATCTGGATTCTGGTCAGCAGATGAGACCTCTACTCTTTCTTCTCTCTGGGCTGGAGAAGAGGCTAGTGTCAGATCATGGCCCAGGGAAGAGGCCAATACCAGATCCAGGCACAGGGCTAAACATCAGCCTAACCCTCGGTCTAGGCCCAAATCCAAGCAAGATCCCTATATAGATTCCTGGTCTGGGTCTGAGGAGGAGTGTAGCAATCCATTTTGCTTGTGGCCTGGAGAAAATACAAATAACTTGTTCAGACCCAGAGTCAGGGATGAGGCAAACATTGGGTCCAAGCGCAGGACAAAGAGAGAGGACTTTTTTGAATCTGAGTCTGAAGATGAGTACTATAAGGAGTCCTGGTTTTTGCCTGGAGAAGAGGCCAATAGTAGATTTATGCCCAGAGATCAGGAGGAGCCTAACAGTGACTTGAAGCCCAGAACCCAGAAAGATGTTAGTAACAGCGATAGGGTCAAACAAGACCCCAGATTTGAGGAGGACATCATTATTGGGTCCTGGTTCTGGGCAGAGAAGGAGGTTGGTGTAGAGGCTGGGGCTTCGGCTATCTGTGAGTCCACCCCCGGGGCTGAGGAGGGGGCCATTGGTGGATCCTTGTTCTGGGCTGAGGAACCTGAGTCCAGTTTAGGGGCTGTGGCCAGAGAAGAGACCAGGCAGGAGTCTGAAGAAGAGGCCATATTTGGGTCCTGGTTCTGGGACAGGGATGAGGCCTGCTTTGACCTAAATCCCAGTCCTGTGTACAGGGCTAGTTCCAGGTTCAGAGATACTGCTGAGGAGGAAATTAAGGCATCATCCAGGCCCCAAACCTGGGAAGAGGTCACTGTCGAGTTCAAACCTGGTCCTTGTCATAGGGTTGGCTTCCCATCCCCAAGCTCCTTTAGAATTTCTGAAGAAGCATCCTCTGCATTCGCTGAAATGTTTGAGGGAACGCCCAAGAATGCAGAACTTACCTCGGAAGGTGAAGATGAGGCCAATCAGCCTGACCCTCAATTCACATTTCAGTATGAACCATCCTACCGGTCAGTCAGGGAAATTCGGGATCATCTCAGGACCAGGGAGAGTGCGCAGCCAGAGAGTTGGTCCTGCAGCTGTATACAGTGTGAGCTTAAAATCAGTTCTGGAGAGTTTGAGGAACTCCTCCTGTTAATGGAAAAAGTTCGAGATCCTTTTATCCAGGAAATATCTAAAATTGCAATGGGTATGAGAAGTGCTTCTCAATTTACCCGAGATTTCATTCGGGATTCAGGTGTTGTCTCACTTATTGAAACCTTGCTCAATTATCCCTCCTCCCGAGTTCGGACAAGGTTTTTGGAAAATATGATTCTCATGGCTCCACCTTATCCAAATCTAAACATGATTGAGACATTCATATGTAAAGTGTGTGAGGAAACCCTTGCACAAAGCGTGGATTCCCCTGAGCAGCTGCTTGGTTTAAGGCTGCTTAGGCACCTTACTATGACAACTGACTATCACACACTGGTTGCCAATTTTATGTCTGGGTTTCTCACCCTGTTAGTAACAGGAGATGTAACAACAAAGTTTTGCATTCTGAAAATGCTGTTGAACTTGTCTGAAAATCCTGTGGTGGCAAAAAAGCTATTCAGTGCCAAAGCTCTATCGGTATTTGTGGGTCTCTTTAACTTGAAAGAGTCACATGATAATATTCAAATTGTTATTAAAATGTTTCGGAATATCAGCAATATTATAAGAAATGGAACAATGGCCTTAATTGATGATGATTTCAGTCTTGAGCCACTTATTTCTGCATTCCATGAATTTGAGAGTTTGGCTAAGGAACTACAAACCCAAATAGACAATCAAAACGATCCTGAGGGGGGACGACCAAACTAATGTGATTAAACACCTGTCTGTGATCAGCCTTATGTTCCCGAAGAGCCCTGAGTAGTGCTTTGGTTCTCAGTCTGGTTTTATGTTGTAACTTACGTTTTTAATGCTGATGTTAACTTTGTCCAGTTCTTGGCTTGAGCTATATCATTTTGTGGTTGCCAAATGAATATTAGAACTGAAAACGTTTGTTCATATTTGTCTTGCTGTCCAGATTGCAGTATTTTTCAGTATTGAGCATCCAATGAACTGAGTCGCCTATGTAAGCTACCCTGCTATTTGTTGTTTAAACATGGTTCTGTGTTTGAGTCTGTGTTTTCAATAAAGTTCTGTGTGGAAGTTGGCAGAAGTGACCCTTCTTCAGTTTAAAATCCAGGTGCAGGTTCATTGTGCACACTTAGAAACATAGATAATTAGAAGTACGGCAAGCATACCCTCATTGGAAAATTCCATTCCTGGAGCTTAAGAAGGAGGAGATTACTGTGGGCTGTAGTACTTGAGAAATGTTTCAGAGAAGAGGGACCCACTTAAATTGGTCACTGAAGGGTAGGATAAGACAAACCATTAGGTTTTTCTTAAAAGTCAGCAATGGTGGTGTGAAGAAAAGTATGTAATTGGGAAATCTGTTTTAGTAGCCTGGATGTATCCTGCCTACCTGGAGTAGAGAAGACAAGTTTATTGAGGGATGCAGTTGGAATGAGGCCAGCTTGGAGAGCTAAATCGGCCAAATCTGCACATTTTACAACTCAAAATTAAGGTGTTTCAGTGCCACCAAAAGAGTGAAATAGAATAGCAGACTAATTAAATGGAGCCAGAAGTAAGATTTTTTTGTGATCCTAGTCCAAGACAAGTATTAAGAAAATACTGTGTGTCTGTTAAAAATTATCTATAGGCATGAAATGACACTGAACCTTTTATGTCTGGTAAAATACAGAAGAACATTATGGAAAAATTGATCCCATTTTAAAATTTGTGTGTGAATAAACTATGCAATTTCCATATGACTTTTTACGAAATTTCATATGTTCGTTCCATAGTCTGGAATAAAATCTACAATGCAAAAACAATTCAGAGACAGACATCAGGGAAGCAGAAAGAAGACAGGGATTTTTTTTTTCTTTTAATGTGCTTCTAGTGCCTTAAGTTATAGACAGGTTGGAAAACAGTTCTATAAATGAATCAACTATATGTGTTAGAAGGAATTTTTAGAGATAAAATCAGAAAAGTTGGAAAGAAAAATGGGCTCCCATGAGATTTAAGAAAAACTAGCTTTTAAAATAAAGTGCTTTGACGAAAAATCATCAAGATTGCTAACTTTATATTAGTCTGTTGACTGTACAAAGATTGCAACTTTTTTACATGACATATTCAAAAGAACATTTCCTTTTGGAGTGACGACAGTCCTGGAAGTAGATTGTGGTGATGGTTGCACAATATTGTGAATATACTTAATGCCACTGAATTGTTCACTTGATTTTATGTTTATATGTATTTTCCACAATAAGTAAAAAAAAAATTAGCATACCTTCAGATAGAAATTGCAGAAGTCAGGGATAGAATTGGTTCGGAGGGGGACTCTAGACTTGTGAGAAATATGTTTTATTATTTTTAGTTAGGGCGGAAATGTTATTTCTGTTTTGTCTGAGGATGCTGTTAATTTTTGAAAAGGTTAAATTATGACTTAGAAATGAACATGTGAAAGATTTTTCAACACAACAAAGAACTAAGATTATGTAAATGGTTGAAGGAAATATGTGTGTATACAATATAATAAAAATAAAATGTGTTAAATTTCATACATACATGGAAAACGTTAGGATAACATTGCGGGGTTAAATACAAAATGATATCTTAAGGGCACTAAATTGTAGCCATTGATACTATCTGTTTCACTGGGCATAAGTCATTTCCGTATCTATTGGACAAAATATCTATAGGTTAACAGCAGCCTCTCACAGTGGAAAACTTGCTCAATCAATAGAAAGTGAAGCCCAGCCCTGCACTATAGTAATATCCAGTAACCTATATTGTCTTTATTCAAGTTTTGTGTAATTTTTCTCACAGTGCAATATGCTTATTCCACATTCTAATATACAAGGTTTAAGGCAGTAATTTCCAACCTTTTTCATCTCATGGTACACATAAACTACTAAAATTCTGTGGCACACCAGAAATACATTTTTTGCTGATCTGAAAAAAAAATAGGTATCATTTTGATTCATACTGGACAGCTATTATGTTGGCTGTTGTCATTTTTTTATTTGACAACCTAAGGAAAAATAGGTCAGTGCCCCTGACTAAATAGTCAAGTATTGTATGTTTTGAAAATTCTTGCTGCACACTCGTTGAAAATTGCTGGTTTATGGAAATGGGCAAAGTGGCAGTTTTGCCTCCCTTCACAAACCAACCACAAGTATTAACAGAATCATGCTGGTGGTGGAAACTAGAGTTTGAATGTTTATTTTGCCTATCAATGTTTTTCAGGACAGATCCTGTGTGTGTGTTTAACATGTCACTTTTGAGTTTTAGAAAGAATGTGCAAAGTCACTTAGTCTCCAAACTCCTCATCCAGTGTTTCTTGTCAGCCCTGGGCTCCCATAGAGCAAGGCCCAGGCCTTGGGCTGGAAGCTTGGGTGACAAATCCCGCCTGCCTTCAGCTATCTTCACTGTGATCAGGAGCTTCAGGTTCTGCTAGCAAACACCTCAACCCCAGAGGCAGAAAATTCTGCTCTTTGGTGCTGTAGGGCTGTGGCCAACATGATGACCTCATGGTCACGTGTGAGCAGACAGTGGGTCATGTGGGTTGACTGGGTCATGTGACCGTGCTCCCCCTTGGGCCGGCCCAGAGGTGTTTCCCAATCAGAAAAGGGGAAAGGGGAGGAAAAGGGACAAAGACAAAGAGATGAGACGAGGAAGGACATATACTTGATGATTGATAGACTGCTGAGGAATGAATGGTAGGTGGGTGAGTGGGTGAGTGGGTGGCTGTCTTGCTGTGCCACACTAACCTGAAAACTAGTCTCGGGTGACCAGAATTACAGCATTTGTTGGTAGAGGAAACAGTCCTGCAGGCAATCGCGAGCATCTTAGCCGGGTCTGTCTTTTGTCCAGGAGCTCAAGAAGCAGAAAGTCATCCTGCTGGAGGCACACAAGAGAAATGGTGGTCGCTGGCGGAGGAGGCGGGTGCGAGGCTTGGAAATGGCACCCGCGGGTGGTGGCTGAGACTGGATCCTGGAATAGGAAGTGCCTGGGACCCTCCTGCACCCCTTGCTTTCTGAACACCCCTCCCCTCTCCCCATGCTCCCTGCCCAGAGCTGTGTGATTCTGTGTTTCTTTGTGTGGGTGGGGGAAGTGGACACATGGAGGGAGTTGGAGTCAGGGGAGCCAAGAGAGGAAATGGTGAAGTGACAATTTGTGAACACACAATTCATATAATCCATTGATGCTGGCTCTAGAAAAGCAGGTGTGAGGATGGGAACTCTGTCCTCCTACCTGTTTGCCACTCACTCTCTGTTTCCTGTTTGTATTTTCCAAAGGACAGGGATTGCTGAGACCAACTCAAAATTGGGAGAGGGTGGGAGAGAAGGAATCTGCCTAATGCTCCAAGGCTCCAGTTGCATGGAAATGCAAGAGAAGAATGAATCCCAATTAGAGCAGCTCTAGGAAGGGGTTGGGAGATGGACTCAAGAGGAGGGTACCTAGATGCTGTTGGCCCCTGACAGCAGATTTCTCTTTGGGATAATGCCAAGCTTCTCAACTCCCTAGAGAATCTCTGGATCTCAGCCCCAGCCAGCATGTCCCTCCCACCTGAGAATACAAAAGTTGCTAGTCCCTGTAAGGTTCCCTCAGTTTACAGTTGTAGGCCTCAGAGTAGGATCTTTCTGGGAAACACCTGCAGAAATTGCTTAGTGGGTGGTCCCAAAGGTTCCCCTCGACAGACACTTTGATCTTTTCCACATGCTCTGCTCTCTGCCCACTTAACTTCTTAGGACTTGTTCCTTTGGTCTCACTCATCCTAGGTAGGATCCCTTGATAAATTCGTGTCTTCTAACAATATTCCCAAACCTAGGGGGCTCATGGGAACCCCTGTTGCCCCAAGGCTGGATACCATGGCAGTTAAGAAAAGTGTACCTAGGAAGTAATGAATTTCCCTAAACCTATTCATATCCTTATATTTCTTGTCAGTGTAGAGTTGAAATTATGCTGTAATACTACAGCAGGCCCTCTCGTTTATATTTAAAAGCCAGGATTGAGCAGTGGGCATGTGGCATAAAATTACAGAGATTTGAGGCCTGTGACTATCTCCTCCTCTCTTACCCTGTCTCCTTTGTTATCCTCTTTCCTCCCCTCTCCACAATATGGTAACGTAAGCATTGGGGCCAATTTTCAGATCATGGTCTTTCTGCTTAAGCTCTGTTGTCTCTGGCCTGTGTCTCTGTGTTTTTAAAGTTTGACAGAAGAGAGTATCTCAAACATGGTGTGGTATAGAAAAAAATACATCTAAACTTTCTCTCTGGTTCTTGGCACAGACCTTCAAAAAACCTTTGGAATTCTTTGGTGATAGGAGTGTCTCTCCTACACTAATGAGCTGACTTACAGTGGCCCTTAAATAGCTTCATGATGTGGGCTGGGCACTAGAAGGACCAATCATATAATTGGAGTTGGAACTTTAGACCACAGAGGGAAGGCAGGCTGGATTTTGGGTAAAATCAGGTGGCCAATGATTTAATCATGCATATATAAGGAATCCCCAATGAAAACTCAGGGCTTTGTGGAGCTTCCTGGTTGGTAAACACACTGATATTCAGGGAGTGTGATTTGCCATGAAACCATGGGAAGAAGGCATGGAAACTGTGAGTCCACTACCCTTCCAGATCTTGTCCTATGTGTAGCCTTTATAATAAAACTAGAATGCAAAGTACAGCATTTTTAGTGATTTCTCTGAGTTTTTCTAGTATATTATCAAACCCGAGGGGGTTGTGGGAGCTCCTAAATTTATAACTTGTCAGTCAGAAGTATGGGTGGCCCCCCAAGACTTGTAACTGGCATCTTATCTGAAGTGGGGGCAGTATTGCTGGGGACAGCACCCTTAAATCTGTTGAGTCTAATGCTAACTCCAGGTAGTTGGTATCAAAGAATTGATGTCAGAACAATGGTGTCATTCTTTTAGCAGCCACCCTAGAGTAGTATCTGTAAACCTACCTCTGATCCTATTCATCATACATTAGTAAGTTAAAATGAAGGCTGCAGCTCTGGCTGGTGTGGCTTAGTAGATTGAGCACCGGCCTGTGAACCAAAAGATCGCCTGTTCAATTCCCAGTCAGGGCACATGCTTGGGT